GCAGTATCAACTTGGTATCAGTATGGGATTCCTTATAAATATTCAGTATGGAGTGCTACTCTCCAGCTGCTAGCATGAATGGGGGCGAGTAGGAAAACTGACAGCAAATCTAGGTCTCCTTTGCACACATGCCCAGTCTGAATTGCAATATTGCCTAATTGCTTGATAGGACATGTGTGCATGGCAGGAGACTATAGTGCACACAAGTACTGTTAAGACAGGTGGCTCATCCTTTCTGAGCGGCGCAGTCTGAAGGCTCCCTCCGTATGTGGATACCTTAAGTAGGATCGGGCACTCATGTAGAAGTGGCGAGGGAACTGTCCTTTTCTACTGCCCAGTTGTGCTTAACCTGGTTTATATATTAACAGCAGTCTCAAGGCTTAAACTTGCCCCAGATGTTTGACTGCTGACTTGTAAGTCCTTCCCGAGTATGGTCCGCCATCTCTCTGTAACTCTGGATATTATGTATGCTTCTTACTGCATGTATAGAGAACCATAACAGAACTGACTTCCTGTTGGCTTTGCACAAACTTCTTAACTAGGATTGATTCACACTTTCAGCTGAGCTTATGGGATAATAATTATTCACTAATCCAGTTTATGTCTATAAATGTGTGAATTGGCTCTATATGGCTTTCATTTGATTTTTTTTTTCAAGTGGCTCTAAGTTGTGGTGTTAATTATTATTTGTTCTACATTGGCCAATGACAGCTTTATTTGCCATTTTTAAAAGTTAAATTGTGAACTATATTCTTGAAAACAATCTGATAGAAAAGACATTACAGAGAACATTAACCAAAGCAGTATAAGCCTAGGACTTATGGTAAAATGCACCTGTCTTTCCCAGATCCTACTGAGCCATATCACATGGCTTGTCTATGAGATTACTTAAGGACAGCATTGTCTCAGATAAATGCTTCCTTGTGCTGCCACCCACATAGCAAAGCACCTGCCTTGCCTGTCGTGTATGTGATCCATCTGGGATATTGTACTGAAAAGCTAAGCAGACAGTCCTTGAAACACAGTCAAGAAATACCTATGCTTATCATCTACTTTAAAAAAGCAATAGAAAAAAAATTAACATGTCCGGATGATTGAGCAGAAAGGTGCGACACAGCAAATTCATTATGAGATAAAAGGTAGAAAATCCAGCCTATCCACCTACTTCAAGATCATACATCCAAGTTCTCTCCACATTTTTCAAGATATCCAGCTTTCTTCTTTACACTTGGCAAAATTATTGCCTGCCTGTTAACAGCCTCCCAAGTCCTTGTGCATTTTCATAAAATGTTTACAAAAACGAGAAATGATATTTGGGGGCATCATTCAGTATTATATTCAGTAATTACAACCTTCAATGTTTGAGGGCTATTGTAGAATTAGTAATCAATTTCCTTGGAGGATGCAGGCAGTTCTAAAAGAAATTTAGGTCAATCTTGCTCACCCAGGGATGAAACTATATTCTGACTGTTATACACATAAATTAGACACAGTATTTATTGAAATAATCTATTGCTGTGTGATTATGCAAGAACAAGAGTTACGCTTGGCCTAGCAACCTAAACTCAGAAGTTGCAAATAATGGGAGGTGTGAAACCTGGAACTTTACCCTGAATACTATTGTCAATACTTTTCCAGCTGTGAGAATCAGCATCTAATAAAGCAGAATCACAGAGGGAAAAGAATATGTATTCTATCCAGTGAACCAGATACCTCATAATTTTACTGAGATAGCAATTTGCTGCTATCCCATTGTTTTGATAAAACGGACACATATCTTAACACATGTGCAATGCACATAAAAAAGAAGCGGAGTTTGGCTGCATCATGATTTTTTTGACCATACCCTGCAGACTCTCTTGTCCAGGCATACAGATGAATGACTGTAGAATTGAAAAATCAAATGTAAAAAGCTAGAGTAAAGCAAAATTTATATCTTTATAATCCATTTTTTTAAAGGGCAGCATATTTTTGAATACTGAATGCCATTACTCTCACAATTTAAACTTTAAAACTGGATTTGTAAAAGGATTAGCCTGAGCAGACTTCCTCAACTTGATATTCTCCAATTGCATTACACATCAGTTCTAATAATTTCCAGCGAGCATGGCCAACTGTCCAACAGAACTAGAAGGTACCTGGTACAGGAAGGGAGGACTAGGCTATTATGAAAGATTCTCATCCAGCAACACTGCAGTCCTATCATGTGAGCTGGATTAATCAGAAGTATCACTATGCCCCCCCCCTCTGCATTTCCAGCAAAGTGAGCACCAGCAAAGACTAAGGGCCAAAGCAGCATGGCAGGCAGAATGGGCACGTCATCAACGTATCTCTCACCTCTCCTCCCAAAACCTATGCACAAATCTCAGGGAAAAAATCAGATTGTATTTGGTACTTTCAGAGTATTTTTCTCAACAGATTTGGTCATCCTACACCAGCATTGCTCTAGGTGTCTCTTCTGTTGCTTCATTTCCTAGGCCCTCCCACGGAGTAGTAACTACAAAGAGGCTGCTGAGAACCAATCCTGTCAAACACTAAGCATCAGGCAGTCAACAGGATTGCCTGCCAGAGCTTGGAGACTCTCACCAAGTGTCCTTTAGAAACCAACAAGCCCCATTAGGCATCTGGGGGTGGACTGATAGAACATGTCTTTCCTCTCTGCAGAGGTCTGTGGCACCAATTAACTCCACAGAAATTAAGTAAAATATTGTGCCATACATCCGGATGGCCATTGGGTTCTGCTCCATTGCAGAAATCTCTCCTATTGCTGTATTGTAAGTTTCATATCCCAAACAACATATGAAGTCTTTAGAGGAACACTGAATAGCATCATTACATTTGGCTGCACAGCTGCTAAGATATGTTTCAATGCATCTACCTCCTTGTACCTGTCTAAGTCACAAAGCATGACTTACAAGTAAATGAAAATAAAGATTTTGTGCTATTGTCATCCAAGTATTTTGCTTTGCTGATGCTTTTACACTTGGCTGCTTTTTCTAACATTTGCTATTTACTCCAGCCTCAATTCACACTCACTAACTTTAGAATTCACATTGGATGGCTTTCTCATTAGAGGAGAACATTCTGGGCAGAAATGTGACCAGAATTTACATAGGGTTTTTATTCCTTTGGCCCACAAAAAAGCATCTCAAATTCTGGACATGTAGCAGTTTAGATGATACGTACCATCTTTTGCTGTATCAGAACTGTCCTTATGCCCTTGCCCTTTAATCTTCAGTGATAATCAAGAAAAGATTAGTAAATGCTATCCTCTATTTTATTAAACAGTTCCCAGGGATTACAGTGATATTAACTCTTGCTTCCTCTACCCAGTACTTCTACAGCATCAAAATATAATTCATAACTAATTCCACTACCTCCATCCCAGATGAAATGATGATGATGATGATGATGATGATGGCCCTCCTTTAACAGTCTGCATATGTGAGTGCAGAGATACATTTATTGGCAACCTGGTGCCCTTCAAATAGCTTGGAGTAAAATTTCCATCAGTTCCAATGTGGCCAGTAGTAATAGATTAAGGAGAACACTGACTACCTATTCTTGAAAAAGTGTTTATGCCCATACTACTGCAGACATTACAAACTAGCACAGAGTAGTTTGTTTAAATCTCATATGCTTAAACTCCCTTTAACTGGTTAGATTCAATCAATCAAGACTATGTTTTCTGCAGACACAGTAGAAAGACATTAGAGGTTCTGGGTACATAATTATATATTTCAGCTTTCATTTCAACTCTCATTCAAAAATAGTAATAAACTTCCTATCCCTTAACTCTTGTGGAGTCTGTGAGTGGGTTCAGACGCTACACTACACAAAGGTTTGTTGATTAAACTTCCACTGGCTGGGCTAATATAATACACTACACCAAAATCAAAGAAACCTTATAATGGCATAACATGATACATGAACTCAGCCAGAGTGCAGCCAGCACATATTATATATATTGTGACTTTGAGTTAGTGTTGACTTCTAGTGACTGCCTGGACAAGTTCCTGCAGTTTTCTTGGCGAGATTTTCAGAAGTGATTTGCCACTGCCTTCTTCCTTAGGGCTGAGAGTGACTGGCCCAAGATCACCCAGCTGGTTTCATGCCTAAGGCAGGACTAGAACTCCCAGTTTCTAGCCTGGTGCCTTAACCACTACACCAAACTGGCTCTCACTATGTTTCAGTACAGATTGGTTAATTCTTAAAATGAAAACTGAGCAGAATTCCTAGAGCTTGGATAAGAACATTTTCATATCTTTCTTTAATGATTTATCTCATTAAAACCCCAAACAAAAGAATGTATGTAAAATCTACGTAAGGTTGTATTATAATCTATCAACAATTATTGGTGCAAATTGTTGTTCTCAACCACTCCCTGTTGCTAGAAATCTATTTTTCTGCAGGTCTCTATCTTTCAGATTAACCTATCTTCCAGGGTTGTTGCAAATGTAAACGTGCAGGGAGAAAAGTATGTGCACCATCTTGAACTCCTTGCTGAAAAAGTGGGAAACCTGTTTTTTTAGTTTTTTATGGTTTGTAACCCATGGTCTATGGCTTGGCATGCTGTGTGAACTAGCCAATTGTGGTTTATTCAATAAATTATGGTTAAATATGTGGCTTACCTCTAGGGGGATGGATGAACTTGACCAGAATCCAACTCTTAAATTATTTTGGTCCTAGTTATATACTACATGAGAATAACTATCAGTAATCTTAATAGAACTTACAAATAAATATGCACAGAACAATATCCAAATTATTATTTGAGTTTCATATGGCCCAAGTACTTTTTCAGTTGGAGGTAGTCTCCCCTGCAGCGCTTTTCCAGTTACCATAAAGCTAAGTTCACACATATCAAACCATAAATGTGGTTTGCTTTTGACTCTGCAAACCAGTTACTGTGATTTGTGCTGAGCATGTTCTCTAAGCCCAGTAATTATGGCTTGATTATGTGTTATCAAGACGGTATCAATTTTAGCAATCATACAGACCTTCTCCATAACGATCTGGCCTTTCAACTCTTCCAGTTGTACATCCATCACCACTGTAATTGAATCCATCCACCTTGCTGCTAATCACCCTCTTCTTATCTTTCCTTCCACATTTCCCAGCACTGTAGACTATAAAGAGAGCTAGGTCTTCACATAATGTATCCAAAATACAATATGATGATTTGAGCCTGGCCATTTGGGTTTCAAGTGAGAACTCTGAATTTGTTTGTTCTATGATCCATTTGTTTGTTTCCTTGGCTATCCATGATATGCTCAGGAGTCTTCTCCAACACCAAAAGAGTCAATTCTCTCTCTCTCCTGCTTCTTCAAAGTCCAACTTTTGTTTCCATAGAGTGTCACAGGGAAAAGCATTGCCTACATGATTCTGATCTTTACAGGTACGGACACATCACAGCATTTCAGTATCTTTTCCAAGACTTTCATTGCTACCCTACTAAGTGCTAGTCTGTGGCATACTCCTTGACTGTTTGTTCCTTTCCTGTTGATCCTAAAGGCAGAGGCTATTCACCATAATTTCACTGTCAATTCTAAGGCTGCTTACTGTACCTGCTGTGATTAGTTTAGTCTTCTTTATACTTAATCTTTGACCCTTTTTTCCACTGTGCTCCTTGACTTTCATTACTAGAGATTGGAAATCATTTACAGTATATTTTCAGCTGTCGCAGTAGTATCATCAGAACAGCACAGATTACTGATATTTCTTCCTCCAGTTTTAAAACCACGGTCATCTTCTTCCAATTCCTCAATATATATTCAGCATATAAATTGAATAAATAAGAAGAGAGTATAATTGTGCTTAACAACCCATAGATATATAAGCCATGGCTTAGTGTGAAGTGTGAATTTAGTTCAAGTCTGCTCTGCAGTTGCTTTGTCTCCTGCCTTTTCTTTTTTAATAATCACACTCAATCTGTTAATTTTTTATACGACAGACTTCTAATTATTTGAAAACTGCTAACCACATTTAATCTAAAGTATTATGAACCTGGAAAAACTGAAGGCAAGAGAAAAGAGGCCAGTACAAGACAAGATGGCTAGACCCTCACAATATTATGACCATAAGCTTACAAGAAGACAAAAAAAATGCAGTAACTGATAAACAATCTTAGTGAACTGTTGCCCATCAGGTTACAAAGAGATGGAGCAACTGAATGATCAAACATCAGCATTGTGAACTCAGGCCATATGATTAGTTTATAATTCATCGAGCCATGTGAACACAAAAACCAGACCTGAATAAACCATGGTTAAGTTACTTATAAGTAAGCATTTGACATGAGAAATCATATGATTCAAACTCACAAGTTTGCTTTTCATAAATATATAATCCCTACAGATAGAATTCTTAATACCAATTTTTTGGTAGTAGCAAAAATCCTAATCCTTGGGTAATGGTTTCTTCATCATCTATTTTCATTCTCTATTTGTTTGGCTATTGTCCTTCTTTTGGAATTTCTGTTTTTTTCCAGAACCGTTATCTTTGACTGAAAACTTCTCACGGTGGACTGGCTGAGATTTTTAAAGACACTGATTTTACAATATACCCAGATTAAGTTATATTGGCACTGTAATGCCTTTTTTTTTTTTAATTAGATCTGTCTCTCACACTTTCTGCCTCACCATTTTGTAAAATAAAAACAAAACTGTTAAAAAGGAAGGTGACGTATAGTGTGAATTGAATCTTAAGAAAATGAGTACAAGAGGGAATTGAACTGTATCTTGTAGGTTCCAAGGGAATATCATAGGCAACTTTTCTCTCAGTTATGTCAAGCATTTCCCACACTTCCTTGTAACTACTACCTTGACCCCATCAGTCACAGAGAATCAATGCATTTAAAGGTTTCACGAGTACAGTACTGTTTCCAATCTGAAAAGATAAACACATCCTCAAGCTGTGATAACTGAATAAGGAAGCATTCATTTTACAATTCAAGGAACCCCTTTTATTTCAGCTGTTCTGATCATTTAATTTTACCATCCCCAATGCATTACTTTTACAGCATTTGCTGTTACATTGTTCAAACCATGATTCAGACTTTGAGGCGGCCTTAAATAATTTTCCATTTTGTCCCCCACCAAAGACGATGATTTTGACAATAAGGGCAGCTTTACAGAAGCTGGACAGGTGACGAAGTTAGGAGAAAATATGCACCCAAACGGGTATGCCGGCTTTAGTGTGATTCATGAGACTGAGATCAACTGTTCCATTTTGAACTCCTTCAAGGAAAGCGGGGGGGAGAATGCATATAAAATAATACCAATAATAATGGTGATGATCTCGTTTCCTCTTTTGCTTTTGCTTGGGAAGTCATGAAGGGAGGGGCTTCATCCTATGTAGACAATCAACTAGAAGTAGGGCCATTTCTGCTCCCCACAGATTTGAGAGTAATGGTTGCACAAGCCTTGAACGTGGCTGTCAGTCAATCATGAAGAAAGGAGGGGGGAGAGCAGGAGCGGCTGAGGCCAACGGTCGTTGGAGAAATGCCTCGAACACACAGCAGCCTCAACCCCTCGGTGCCCTTTCCTAAAACAGGATGGGGGAAGGGAGCGGCTGCAGCAGACTGCGCAGGCGCCAAAAACTCGGTTAACCTTGCGTGGAGAGAGCCAGACGCGAGGAAGTACATGAGAGCTAAAGAGCGATGTAAGAAAGTCCACTATTCAGAATGGCGGTGTGTGTGTGTGAGTGAGTGAGTGAAAGGGGTGGCTCGTTCTATTCTCCATCGCTTTGGGGCCTAAATGGAGACTCCAGAAAAAGCACAACTAAATTTGTAAATGATTCTCTCATCAATCAGAACAAACTTTTCTTCGAAGATTTATATGCAAACAATAAAGACCATTCTGTCCAAATGGTACAATCCATCTGCATTTAACCAATCATAAAATGGTCTCTTAGGGGTATCATAAATTACCGGGTAGAAGAAAGACGCTAAGGCCAATGCACGCTAAAATTGTAGCTTCGAATGACATCATCCTTTGCCTGAGAGTGGAGGGGGAAGGACGGCGTTATCGCAAACTGATTTTCTTTTGAGCGGCATACGCTGAGAACCAATACATTGAGGCCATGGGCGGTGCCCTGGCCAAAAGGCGGGAAAACGTGAAAGTGACAGCCAACGGAAACAGTCTTTTAAGACGCTTAGCCAATCGACTTTTCCAATTTGGAATCCTCCAATGGGGCATCAGCGAATGCGTGGAAGGGTAGCGACGTACTTCGTGTACTGTTGCTAAGAGAGTGTCGGATTGTTTTTCCCTGCGATTGAGAGAAGGCCGTGAATGAGGGACTTTATTGTGTCCTCCACAGTGGAACTCATAACAGCCCTTCTTCTAGCAGGGTCTCCAGAGAGAGACAGAGGGATTCTCTACTGCATTCCCCCCACCCGACTCCATGAGGACGTGATGTCTCTGGGCCCCATTTAATTACTTAAGCCTCAGTCTTAATAAATGCACAGCTCTTCCTCTAGCTTCCCCGAAGGCCTGTTTTTATGGTGAAGAGCAATACGGGCCATGGTAAAGCTGGCTGCCAAATGCATCGTGGCGGGTGAGTCCCCAAACTGGCCACCACTTTTTTCAGTTATATCTTTTTACAGGGCCTGGGTATTCCTAAACCAAGACTTGGATCAGGAAACTCAGTTGCTTCCCAGTGGCTTCCCATTTAAAATTGCACTTACAATAAGTTAGGCTTATTTGGAAATAGGGACGAGGAATCTGCTCTATTCTCAGTAGGCTTGAGATTCTTCCTAGCCTTAAATTTAGCAGCTAAACATAATGTGGCTTGTTTAGTTTGGTGTGATGTTGGTATATTCAGTAAACTCTTGTTAAACTGACCTTAGGCTTAGGGGAAGCGTGAACCCAGTCACTTGCTAGTTGCTGCTTTGCAACAGTTTGGGCTGGACTTTTATCTGTCTTACCTGGAGATGCCAGCAATCTGAAACTTTAAGATTTCCTTTATGCAATTCATGTGTTCCACTGTTGTGCTGTAATTTTTAACCAGTGAGGATTACTTCCAAGGCAGTTTGACTGAGCATACATTATATCAATTTTGTTACCTTTATAAGACAGTATTCTGACCCTAAATGCCTGTTAGCTTGCGTGTTATTCGGCATCTCTAAATCCAAGGGTTTTTTAAACTTTTTTGGGCTGCAGAACCTGTTAGCTAAAAAAAAATTCCCAAAACTCCTGTTAAAGACTCTCTTTTTTCCTGTTTGCCTTTAGTCTCACAAAACCCATCAGAACACCTACATTGCCAAGATCTAAACTGCATTGGCTCAGGGTCTGCACTGCAGTGGGTGATGAGAATCAGAGTGGACTAGAACAGTAGGTTAAGACAGATACAGGCTGTATTGCTGGTGGAGATAGAGGTGGTAAGGGCAGCTGGGGAAATACATGTAGTATGACACTGACAATAGTATACTGTATGGGAAATACTAGAACCCCAAGTTGTGGGCTGTACATCTATGTTCTAAATCATGCCTGTACAACATACAGGCTGCCAAGCAGCTTTGTGTGGCCCATTGGCATTTTTAAAAAAACTCAATAATTCACCACCACCAGGAAGAATTTGCCTCCCCAAAAAAACACTGTGCCAAATGCCACCAGCCCTCACACGGCCAGCTGATCAGCACACCAGCTATTCCCTTGTGGCCCATGGTTATTTTCAATTTATCAGTGTGGCCCTTTTCTCCTCTAGAAGTTCTGCAGGCCTGCTCTAAATCTGTATTATGTTATGTGTCTTTTTTTTTAGATTTTTTTATCCTGCCTTTATTATTTTTATAAATAACTCAAGGCAGTGATACTCCTTCCTCCTCCTAGTTTCCCCACAACAACAACACTGGGAGGTGAGTTGGGCTGAGAGAGAGTGACTGGCTCAAAGTCATCCAGCCAGCTTTCATGTCTAAGACAGGACTAGAACTCAGTCTCCTGCTATCTAGCCTGATGCCTTAAGCACTAGACCAAATTCTCTTTTTTTGCACATTTGCAGCTTTATAGTTATCCTTTCTGAGATATTTGATGACTAGAACTGTGTATGATATTTCAACTGCTAGTTCACCATCAATTAAAATAGTATTCTAATAGGAGCTTTATTGTTTAATTCTATTCCTAATTATCCCAAGCAAGTCACCCTCTAGGGGAGATGGACAGCATACAAATTTAATAAATAAATTAAATAAATAAATTTGTCCCACATACCAATTATAAAGAGGATGCTGGAGGTTGGTGCTTCATTCTCAGCATGCTTGCTTCCTATTTAACTTGAAGTACTTTAAAAAAAAACCTAAATACAAAATAAAACTCAAATCAGCCAGGAAGCCTGGAGGGTACTATATTGTGTACCCTTGACTTGCCCTTGGATTTCAATGGGCTTAGGCTTTCCATAGAAAGCATAGCACAGAACTGTTTGTTGCTTAACATAGCAATGGGAGAGAACTCATGATTTCTTAAGTGGAAGTGGCTTAATCAAAGGGTTTTTTTCTTCCATTTGTGATGCAGGTGATTCAGCTGTGGGGAAGACTGCTTTGGTCCAGATGTTCTGCAATGATGGGGCTCATTTTCAGAAAAACTATACTCTGGTGAGCCTTACAATAGAATCAGAGATACTGAGGAAATAGGAATTAATTATGGATCTTTAAGAACAGTATTAGAACAACCTTTTTAAAATGCTATGGCCAGTTTATACCTTTATCCAACCAGTTATTTTTAGGCGCAAAATTTTATATTTAATTCCATTTTCCACTATATACATACACACGCAAAAAGGGAAACAGGCATCCCGTAGATCAGCCTGTTTATGTAGCAGCTCCATTGGAGCTGGCAGGAATAGTGCCAGCCTGACCTCTGTATGTACATTTTCCTTTTGAAATTAATTTGTGTTATTTTAGATTGTTGGCTAAATATACACGTGAACCCATCCCTAAGCAATTTAGAGCAAGCGTTAAAGGCTTACAGTAAAATAGATATTTAAATTACAGTGAATAAATTCCTTTTCAGCCTAATTTTGTTTTTTCAGCCAAGATCTTAGTATCCAATATTCAGATTTGAGTTTCTCTGACTGAAAAATATCTAGCACTGGCATTGTGAGGGGTCACTTGAGAGACCTAATGGGTTCTGTTGATTCTAGGCAAGCAATATAAAATAACTGACTTTATTTTATATTGTCTGACATATTTTTCCACATTCTGATTGACAGACAATAGGAGTGGAACTACTGATGAAGACAGTACCTATTCCGGGAACAAATGATAGTGTGGTAAGATTAGCTACGATTTAGACTGAGATTTTTTAAAAAGCTCCTTGAGCTGTCAGTTTTCTCAGAGTTTGTTTGCATTTTGTTAAATGAGTTTAGTCATTTGCGTTCTACTGCATGTGGAACTTTAATATTAGGTATGCAGAAATAAGGATGGCGCTTCATTGTCTGTGAATCTTCTGATCTGGATTTCCCCTAGATTAAAAAAAATGTAAACAATCATAACTATTTGTATTACTGTGGTTGGTCGCATGGTCAGCCAGATGTTTAGACTGGATTTGGCATTTTTATCCACCTATCGAGTCCTTCCCAAGGACCTGGGATAGGCAGATGTTGTTGTCTGATGGTGTTAAAAGTATTATTGCAGGATATAAGCTGTTCCAAATAAAGCTGGCTTTTGTAACTGACTGATGGTGGTATTATTATTATTATTATTACTATTATAAAAATTTATTATAGCCACCCATTCCCATGAACTCTGGATGACTTACAAATATAAAACAATAAAAGCAGTTAAAAACATACAACACCACAGGCAGCCCAGACTAAAACAGGTAGCCCAATCATAACAATAACAAATCAAACCAAAACAGGGGTCCCACAAACGCATCAACCTCAGGCCTGGGACCAAAGCCAGGTCTTAAAGGATTTTCATAAGAGGAGAAGGTGCTGTCCGTATCTCTGGAGGGATACTGTTCCAGAGGGTGGGGCCATGACAGAGAAGAGACGCTTCCATGGTCCCATAAGATGACAACATTTAATAGAGACCTGGCACGTACCCACTTTGCCAGAACATATTGGCGGGCAGAAACAGTTGGAGATAGGCAGTCCCTCAGGTGTCCAGGCCCTATACCATAAAGGACTTTATAAGTAACCACCAACACATGAAATTGCACCCAGAAACCTACTAGCAACCAGTCACTATAACAGTGGTGACTCATGGGTATACTGAGAGGCACCCATTACTGCTTGCACTTCTGCATTTTGTATCAGCTGTAGCTTCTAGATGGTCTTTAAGGGCAGCCTCATGTACAGCACATTGCAGTAATCCACTTGTGCAAATTATCTTGCTTCATTCTTTGATACGTTTCCCTTATCCAGCCTTCTTTAAATGCAAATTCCATTATGTAAGCTTAATAAATATCGTAACTATCCCTATTTGTATGGAGCTTTCAATACTGTGCTTTTCTAGAAGTATTTCTGTTTTTGTACATTTTTGTTGGGGAAACCCAAATGTTTTGATGGTGGTATTTGTGTCATCACAAAATCCAATGAGAGGAGAATGCATGAATATGCTCGCAACAGAACTTATGTGAAATTTATTTTACATCTTTTGTGTCAAATTTATTTTAAGACCCCTAGTCATCGAGACTCTTGTATTTTTGCATCATAAATATATAACTGTTAGAATGCCACTTGCTATTTTCAGTATGCAGCAAGTTAACTGGGAACAATAACTGAACCTTTTGGTTTATGTAGAGAAAAGTAGTTCAAGATCTATGGATCATTCCTTGAAGTCACTCCAGTGCAGCTTCGTATTGTGGTGACTCAGCACTACAGGCTAGTTCTTGAGGGAAGAGTGGGAATGGGAGAATGACATCTTTGCAACTTAGGTATGGCCTGCAGCTATTCTGGCTATGAAGGGTGAATTTATGATCTTAACTCAGAAAATTACATTTATCTTTTATACTGCAAGCTGATTAGCCACTTGGGGATAGCAGCTTTTTCCCCCAACCATTGCTGTGTCTGAAAAGTTCTAGAATTCAAAAGCCGTTTCCGAACTATGGAATATTTTTTAATTAAGCAATATATGTATTCTCTTTTCAGGAACTCTTCCTCTTTGATTCAGCAGGCAAAGAACTCTTTTCTGAAATACTAGACAAATTGGCAAGTATAAAAGTCTTCGTTCAATAAACCCAACTTCCACATTCTAATTAAAGCCTGTTCTTGTAAATACCTAAATTCAAAACAATAAGATAAAACAAAAAATTTAATAACATTGCTGTGAAGAGAAAATGAGGGGCCCAGTCTTTTCTCCTGGAGGATCTGCTGTTTGCTTGGATGCTGTGATTCTTATTTAAAATTTTTATTTTATTAAATTTATAAGCCACCTAACTTTTAAAAGACTGCACAGTGTACAATATAGAAAATGTAGAATAAAATATTTCACAAAATAGAAAAATGTCCAGAGAAAACAAACACCATCTCACAAATCAGACAATCCAGCAGGGGGCTGCCACCCACTCTAGCCCAGGGCCTGGAGAAAAAGTCAGATCTTAAGCTTCTAAATAGTCTTTAAGGGCAGCCCCAGATAGAGCACACTGCAGTGGCCTAAATGCAAGATGGCCAATTATCAAATGAATTAGGTAAACCATGAGAAGTTCTGTCTCACAGGTTTTTTGGCCCAGCAGGCTTCCCATCTGGCCTGTGAAACTGCAAGGCCGCTCCCTTTCTGAAGTCTTCTTTCCCACTAGAAAGCACTACCAGTTCCTCACTAGGGCAGTCTCCAAGCCTTTGTTCATTTGTTGCCTTTCCCAATAGAAAGATGACATGGAATGAAGCTAGCTTTAGAACTGCCCCATTTGCTAAGTAGAGAGATGCACAGTGATCACTCCTTACCTGTGTCTGCATAGAAAAATAAACTTAGTGCAGAGATGGATTATTTTAAAGTGTGCAGCTTTGTGGAAGAAAGCCTGGGAGGTGTGCCAGAGAACAAATATACCCCTTCAGCTAGAAAACATTCCATATGTCTTCATTCAGAGGTAGTTGGTCTGATACTTGTGCTAAAAAGTACAATTGTGATTATTTCCTATACCTTAATTGTTCAGAGATCTTGATTATGTATCCTTGTTTTGCAAGTTTAAAACACTTGAGTAGCCTGTAAGGGTTTTGTTTTTTTTAACTGACTGTTCAAAGAGTGAGGTTAGCCCACATTCACCTTAAAAAAGTTTCTAATTCTCAAAAAAATGTGTAGAAAGCTTACTTGCAGTTAAAGGTACCATTTTCTCTTCCTGTGATTTATTTCTGACTTGAATCAGATTGCTTTGTTTCTTGGACGTGGCTGATACTCCAGACTTTAAAACCATTGAGCTGTTTCATGAATGCTGGTTAGCTGTGTATGTATGTGTGTGTATGTATATATATGTATATGTGTGTGTGTGTGTATATATACACACATACATATATACATATATACATATATATACATACACATACATACACACATACATATATATATATTGTTAGATATACTAGAGAGAATTCAAATTTGAGTTTTCTTATTTTTTCTAGTAGTGCTATTTATATCTTCATTTGGAGTATTTTTAGACTTTACACTATGTTGGTTTTGAATCCTGTCCTGTGCAATACAAAAGTATTGTTGAGCTCAGTAGAATAGTTCTACAGAACTTTGACACAGTCTGGGTAGCTTCCATTGCATTGCAAACTCCCAGTCTATTCTTATTAAATGTTTTGTTCTTAAAATTTTGGATAGAAGTATATTTAAAAATTAGAAAACATATCCCTGTTTATAAGTAAAGGATATTTCCATGTGGATTTTTTAAAAATCAGACTTTTATTTTTAAACTAGGTTTTATTATGCTTATTCTATGACAAAATTATCTTCTTATAGAGGACTTAGGGTTATATGGGTGATTGATTTTATTTATTTTATTTACAGTGTTTTCCTTTTACTATATAGTGGGAACAGCCCAATGCCCTGTGCATTGTGTATGATGTCACCAATGAGCAATCTTTCAGTAACTCTGCTAAGTGGCTAGAAAGGCTGAGAATCCAAACATCAGGAATTCATATTCCAGGTAGGAAATTTTAAATGTCTTTGTATATATATATATATTGTTTCTACCTCTCCTACTCATTAAATATGGTGGAAAACAACCTTAATTCTAATTAATTAGGATGGCTGTGATACAGACATGTAAAATTTATGTTCTGGGTAATTCCTTTGTGATCCTTTTCTCTTGAAATGTCAGACAATTCATTTTTCAGTAACCTGTTAACTTGCTTATCTGAAACAATCCAATATTTCTTTTCTTTTTGTTTTTTAAGGTGTCCTGGTGGGGAATAAGATTGATTTAACTGATAGGAGAGTTGTAGAGCGCAAACAAGCACAACAGTGGGCAGAAGCAAATGGTCTGGAATACTGTGAGATATCAGTAGTGAGTGTCTTCATTTTACTGGATATATGTAAATGCATTTATTTTCATTTCAAAGAAAGGCTAGATTACTTTGGTTGGTTTATGCAGTAGGTTGATGAAGTGACTGTACTCCCCCATTTTTTATTGTTTCTTTTTCCCTTTACAGAAAGAGATGGAAAATTTTGAAGCTCCTTTTCACATTGTGGCAAATTCTTTCCACCGACTGTACAAAGAGAAAGTAGAAATCTTTAATTCACTGGTGTGAGGTATCCTTAAGTACAATATGCTGGATTAAAAAAACAAACTAACAAAGGCAAAATCATATGCAAATGGAAAGTAGGTTTTTGTTTTATGGAGAATTATAGTTCTTCAACTGTTATTTCAAATCTCATCTGCTTATTGTTTGTCCTGTGATGGACCTTTTTGCAAGAAACATTGTTTTTGGTTATCATTTTTGCATGAATTTATTCATGTATTTAGAGTTTAAATATTATGAATATTTGAGGAATTTCCATAAGGAGAAAGCTATCAAAAAATTAACAGACAATGTGTCATACTCCATACATTTCAACCACTTGGACAACCTGTTTCTTATCGCTAAGTTATACCAAATAGTTAATTAGTTGCTGTCCAGAAATAAACATAAAAGTTATATTTTAACTTTAATTTTCTAAAGGTAGAAATGGGTTAATTCATAATTCTCAGAGCCTCTTGATCTGCAACTTTCTTTCTGCCATCTCAGAATATCACTAGGTAGAGTTCTGTTTGGATGTTAGTAACTAAACTGTGATAGGCTTTTCTTGTTGCCCTTTTCTAACTACAGGGATACCAATCATTTTAATGGAGGATAAGGGGTGAGACATCACTTTGCACAATATCATTCTTAATACCATGTTGTTCTAAAAAAAATTTAGGTTCGGAAATTAATTCACCAGGGTTTCTTCATATTTTACTGGTATTGTTCATATCATGAAATTGTAATTGATGGGCTTTTAACATTTCCATAATGGTATACAAAGAATCTGCTGGGAATAATAAAGAATGTGTTTATTTTAAGCTGAAAAATTATACTGGAAAGACTTATTATTCTGATTTTCTTCCCTATTCCCGGGGCTCAGAGCAGGTCACAACATACTGCATATAGTTCCAAAATATCCTATTATTAAAAAAATATAGCATTTGAATAATATTAATATTACCCAGCTAGAAATGGGAAAGAAAGCCATCACAATTTAATTTCAAACAAAATGACACAATCGACACAAATAATTTGGTATAACTCCAACAAAAACATGTTAGTTTTTGAAGTTACATTTTAAAAAAGGTAGATTTTCTCTTTTATTGAAGAATAATGTGGAAGTTCAACAAAACACACTAACAATGAAATATATATGTACACATACCATTGTCCCTGCATACATAGAATTTAGTATAGTTAGTAAAAGCTTATGAATATCAGTGCATCTTCTACAAATAAAAAATATGAGGAGAGCATATAAAAAGCAGGACTTTGCTAGATCTCATTAACTCGAGGTGATCAAGTCATATTCTTACAGGAATCCATTCATATTAGTAAGACTTACAAAAAGAAATGCAAATTGTTTAGGTAGACCTTTTTGAAGGCAAGAAGTCTGTTGGCTGATGTTTTAGCAAACATTAACACATACGGTGAAATAGATTTTTATTGATTTAGAAATCTGAATCTGCTTTTAATTCAAGAACAGAAAAAATACAAACTTTCTACATACAAGATGAATGAACCAAAAAATAAAGTTGGGGCGGTGCTTGGGTAAATTTGAATTACTGTATATAAAAGGTAGGATTTCAAACAATCAGGGCTCTGATGCTACCAGAGGAGAAAATACTTCATTCCTGTTGCAAGAAATGGATAGCTCTTGCCTAGGCTTACTTGCATTTACTTTGCTACAGGTTAGAGTTGGTTTCCAAAAATGGTACTTTCTTGAATCTGCTTGCTTTCTTTTTTTTTGCTTGTTGTGGCTGCTCATTGCTCTTTGCAAAAGGTCATCTGGCTCATTAGGAAAGCAAAATCTGCAATTTAAAGACCATATCAAACTTACTGAGTCTGAGTTGAACAGTTAGGTCACAAACTACAGACAATTCTGAGTGTATCAATATTTAATTAAATGTATCTTTCAGATTTAAATCTGGTAACTGTACCCAAGGGCTGTGCACCTTTCCTGACCATCTGAGTATGTGTGTATAGATATAAAACAATTTTGAATTGCCATTGAAATTGCTATACAAAGCTTTTGAGAGATGCAGCTTCCTTGACAATTTAGCAGTAGGTTCATGACATGCTTTGGTTCTTTCACAAAGCATCCTTCTGAGTGCTTTGCACAGTCCAACTGTACCTTGCTGCACCCCACCCCCCTTATTAATGTTGCTATATATTGCTGAGTACTCAGAAGAGATCAACAGGTAAGTGATATGGATACATTAATTGTTTCAATCCATGTAGTTAGCTCTTGTACTCATTTTCGGCATAATTGAGTAATGGCTGGAGGAAGGAGGAATAAAATCAACAGATAAAGCTGTGTTTGAAAAAGCAAGCCACTCTAAGAGAACATTGCAGTCTTCAAGTTACCTTAACTACCATTATTTATTTTTTCATTTTCCAAGTGCAACTCATTAAGGTAAAATAATTGGCAGAGAAAATTGCAAAATGAGAATGTCGGGCAGTTTGGGAAATGCCATACTTCCAGTTTTGCGGTGGCTCAGTAGAAGTTAGAACTGTCAAAGGTTTTCAGTTCCTGGTTTTGCTATCATGATCCTGGATGAAGATTTATATTTGAGATACGCAGATATGAAGTTCTCTTAACTTCTGTGAGTTATGTAGTCCCACTGTCCTATTTGCACTTGTCAGATGGCAGCATGAGTGAAAAAGTGTGTGATTGTGCATGAGGATCATTTGATGATAACTGCTTCTCCAAGGAGAAAAGGAATAGTGGTCAAGTTCAGATCATCAGGTAGGTAGATAGATATGGGATATTGGATGGACTTGATGAATTTGTGCTTTAAGAATCTCTGCAGGTTTAAAGGAAAATAGACCATTTCTTCATTGATCTTTAAGCCCACTTGTATAGTAAAATGTAGATGGATTGACCCAGGCCATTGATAACCATTTATTGCGATTGCATAATATGCTTAGAGGCCACATGGAACATTGCAGGTGTTTCACATGGGTGACTGCAGAAATCTCATGATATGATCAGGAGAGCAATCTACACCTGAAATGGCCTACTCTGCACTAGGTCATTATGGAGATAGCCCAATCCAACTTTGTACTCAGTTCTGGATTAACATTAAGAAAAGCAAAATTAAGTTCTCCAATAATCTAGTATAGGAAAAACATAGGCATCTGTAACTTGAAATGAAATAACATTTATAGGCAATCTAGACTCTTTACCAAGAGTCACATCAATATGTGGACATGTTTTTAGCCACCATCCTTTAAAAAGTAATTTTCTTTAAAATGTCTGCATTGGGGGGGGGGATTAACCGATAAAACATGCAGCAATAATAGCCTTTACATTGACATTCATACCAAATTTCAGTTTCTGACTAACAAATGTGTAGTTGTGTCAAAGGGGTAGATTGAACCAGGTTTTATTGGGGGAGTATTACATGCAAAGGCTGAGTCTAAACAAAGCATTTTCCATTCTCCATATTTTCATTTCCATGGTTGAAGATCTAAGAATGTTTTTCTTAGGCAATGATTGAATCATAGCTGCTGATACTTCTGTTGTCTGCTAATAGCCTCTGTTGCCAAACCCAGCCTAGTGCTGCATACCCTGAAGATTTTCAAGATTGATATTAGCCTTTTGAGGTAGGCCAGATCAAGAAGCAAGACTCTGCAATGACTAGTGGAGCTCTATTGTTGTAGGGTATAATAACAGCATATTTCCCCCTCTTATACCAAAGAGAATCAAGATGGGATAATCTTGAATTTATTTCTTTCTCCCCCCACCCCTCCAGGGCCAAGTTGATACTTAAGTAACCATTCTTGCAATCCTCTTCAACGTTATCCCCATACTATACATGGTGTGGCTTTCATTCCTTATGGATAGGAAAAATAGCTAAACACAAGTGACAGCTGGCAGAAGAGAAGGTAGTGAGCACATAGCTAAAGAAGAGTCTTCATGGGAGCAGGCTACTATCTGTATACTTGTTTTTCTTCGCTAAGCTGAAATTGTACTAATTTTTTCTTGCCTCTCTGATCATTACTTACAAATGTCATCAATATGGAAAATAAGACAAATTTTAACACTGGGTATGAGTCTTTTTCCCATTTTATAAAGCCCATCATATCTCCCTCAACTTTGTCCTGGTTTTAACTGACCAAGAATATTTTCATGTTAAATCCTTGATAAAATCCACACCTTTCTCCTATGTAGGTTCATTTGTATGTTCCAACTGATACTGAAATCTAAGATTACTGTTTACTTCACAATGCTAAGGAAGAGCTGAAATTTGATAATCAGAGTATTATATGAGTTGAAATGTATTTGAATTAGGGTTATCCTAAGCAGGCATCTCCTTCATTCCCCTAGCAAGACTGCTTTCATTTATTTTACCATCTGCTTTTCAGTGCTGGAGATGATGCTGGAGATATGTGACTTGGGGCACTCAGGCGGAAACTGGCCTGCACAAGGCCAGGCATGTGTTTGTCTCCTAGCAATGCAGCGGTCAGCAACAATTTTTTTTGCTGCCATATCAGAGAGCAAGGGCTTGGAAACATTTGAGATGCAACAAGATGGACTGTATGAAGGCAAGATTTGGGGAGGGTCAGACAAGCAAGATAATGGACACTGGTAAGGAGGCAGACTGATGAGCTATATATAGATGTGATAAAATAGAGATTAAATAACCAGATCATTTAAATATATTGAGATATTAGAAGACAGGATAGACAGAGTTGATAGTTGCAGACAAGATGGCTTTATTTGTCCCTCTAGCAATGTGAAAATAGTCAGGAACAGCATGAAATCAAGATTGATAGTTGGAAATGCCACAACAAAGCAGAAACCATTCTACCACATGTGGTTATGTTAAAAAACTCAAAAGTACCATAAAGAAATAAAATATTCAAAAAATCCTAAACAATACATTTCAAACTGAAACCACATGTATTTTTATTAGGTATAATTCCAGAAACATAAAATATACCACATGGGTATTGCTCTAAGAATTGCTAGTGTGACCCAATAGTCCAAAATCCAACAACCAATGTATGTTTAAACTCTCCAACTGAATATTGAATGCTAAGACAAGACTGTCATTTAAGAGGCATTTCCTCTGTATTATATTAGGATATTTTGCCAAAATGGTTCCTGAGGGTGTAATGTCAATGATAGTCTCGCATTCTTCTGAAGTAAGGGTACTACCAGGAAAGCTTTCCTGGGACTCCAGAGGTGTGGTTTTGATGCACACGTAAATAGGTGGTGATTACTAGGCATGGGGTGGCAAACTGTAGTTGGTCAGCAGAGTCCCCTTTATTACCATCTTTTCACCACAAAGGGGGGACCCTATCATCTGCCCAAGGAATTAGAACATCATCCACATGAGCATGCTTGGATAGCCTGTGTGGCTGATGAAATAAGAGCAGACCCAACAGTTCGTCTGCTGACAGCTGACATAACATTTAAAGAGGCCAACCACAGACTCATGCCCCAGTGCTCCCTAAGGTCTCAGTTTCCATGTTGTGAAGAAGGAGCAGGATGAATTGGAGCAGCTTCATAGATTCTCAGGCACAACCTGCAGAGTGAGCCAAGAGAAGGTGCTAAAATTTAATTGTTAACCAGGTTTAGATCCCATGATACTTAGCTTTAATGCCAACCAAACTATAGGAAGTAGCCTAAACTAAAAATGGTTTGTCTGTTTTGTTCACAGCTTGTTTGCTTGTGAATAAACACTGATCTCTTTAACTAGTTGAGTTTATTTTAGCTAATGTTGTTTGTAATGAAACTTAGCTTTATAGTGCATTTCTTAGCAACTAATGTCTTAGAAACTAAAGTCTAGCTAGGATTATGTTTCATA